GGCTAAGCAACTACATCCTCTGAGCAAAAACCAACAGCATTAAAAAGAAGGTCTGGGCTTCACTGGACACCCAGGCTACGTTCACTGTAACACTTACACTTCAGCCCTAATTCCCATGTTTCTTAGAGGTCTTCAAATGCAATGGTCAGTAGCAAATGTCCTGCATACTAAGAAGTGACCATTTTTTACATGCTTTACCCGCTTCACAACTGCAACATGGGTTTCTTACCTTTGCCATTAGACTCTGATGCTTCTAAACTGTTATGCAAAATGCCAAAAGATCAGTCTCTGGTTAACTTCAGCCACAATTAAATTTTGTCTACCATCATAGGATAATTATAAGATCAGCGTGACACACAGAGAAGTATAACTTCACAGATGAAGAGAACAGAGGGGAGAAATATGCTGTGAAGGGGAAAAGCTGTTCACATTAAAAAGAATAAGGATCAGAAGTCAAAACTCATCAAGTTATTGGCAAAATAGATTGGTTTTATATACATCTCTTTCCCCACCTTTCCATCCACATGACAATCTTCTCTTTAATGTGTTAAAACTCAAAAGTTCAGTAAGGTCTAGGAAGAAGTATGGTATGAGCTCAGAGAACACAGTAGCAATTGCCTTGTGATAAAAGAGCAGAGCTCATTAAACAGGGATGGCTTAGACACTAAAAACACATTTGTCCCAGTGCTGCTGTGGCATGATGAGAATTGCCATACTGTACAAATACTTGTTTAACATCCAAACAACTGTTGTTTAAAGTGGATTCATAAGGCTACGTTTAGGTCATTAAATAACTGAGAAACAGAGTAGGTGCCCTGTTGAGTTACAATAAACTATCTTGCGTGATGCAATATATACAGAAATCCAGACAGAACAAAGAGTAGTATTGAGCAAAATGTGCTTTCAGCCATGTGGTGATGTAACTCGTACTGCATCTCCCTGAGCGTTTACAGACTTTACAGCATTTGGATCTGAGCATCCTAGATAATAGCAACATATTAATCTCTGCAGCTAAGTCTATTAGATTTGACTAGTGTTGGTCTTGCAACACAGGATGAATTAACATAGGCACCTGTGTAATGTTTGTTCTCTGCACTTAGAGATAATGCACTGCAGCAGCAATTTGAGGAAAAAAATAAATTGAATACAAATGCAAAAAAATGAACTGCCGATATATTAATTGGCTTAAAGAAACTTGAAAATAAGAAAAAAAAAATAATTGCATACATTTAAATTATTAAATACACTACTGTTTATTTTTTAACAGCTCTATATTTCAGAAAGCGATGGTCTGAGATACGGAATCAGATGAGAGCTTAACAAAGCTATGGGAAAATGGTTCAGCTATGGCATTAGAATTACTGTTACAGACAGAAAGGCTAGAAGTTCTTGGCTCAGACACCAACACGTGAACATATGGGTTCAATCCCACCAGAAATTGTAAGAGAGAATTATTTTCCTTCCATCCACTTCATTAGACTTACATAGTCTAAAAAGGATAGGACTTAATATGACCCAAAATCTCTTCTTAGAAAGGAGGACTGGGATAGCCATGTAATCTGCCTGTCTGAGCATCTGTACATGCACAAGCCTTAGCTGTGAGAAATAACAAGGAACTAAAACAATCTCGATTTTTTCCAGACATCATCATCTCATGAGAGTAGAACCTGACTTTTTCACTTTCAGTGACCTCCAATGCAACTCATATTGTGACTCCTCTTTTTCTGTATGTAGGTCTTGCCTGCATTTCAATTACATTTTACATAAATTTTACATTAGGGTAACAGTAGTTCTTTTAAAATAATAATAGAACAAAGTCTTAATGAAGGTACTTCAACAGCAACGAGAGCCAAAAAAAACCCACCCCTAAAAAACCCTTACCAACATTGCTTGCTAAATATGTGGTTTATAAGCATGAATGACTTGCTTCTTCAGAATCTTCTGGTAAATTAGAGTGCAGCATTCACAACTCCTACAACTCATCAAGCCCACCATTGGTTAGAAAAGTCTGGGACATATTATCCCAATTTATACTTTTAAGAGGCAGTTATATTTCTACTTATCGTGGAGAAGATGACAGTAACGTGACTTTAAATGCGAAATGAAATGCCCACCCACCAACAAGAAAGGCAGCCTCCTTAAATTGCCCAGCACAGGATGTCAGGCTAATGACACCATCATAAGATCAGCTTTGGTACTTCCAGGCTTTGGTACTTCCAGAAAAGTATTGTTGCCAACAACTGCAAATACACTGGGGGCTCCCTCCAGGTAACGGAGATGGCAAAGAAGAGCCTGTGAACAAGCACAGTAGGGGAAACTGGCTTCAAAAGGAATAACTTTCTTTTCATAGAATCATGGAACCATAGAATCATTAAGGTTGGAAAAGACCTCTAAGATCATCAAGTCCAACCGTCAACCCAACACCACCATGCCCACTAAACCAGGTCCCTAAGTGCCTCATCTACACGTCTTTTAAATAC